ATTTCCTGCTGCCACTTTGTCAATAGAAGCATTTTCCAAAGCCAGTTTGCATAACATTCAATATTTTCTTGTTTATATGTTAGCCAGCAAGAATTCACCCCCTGTGAATTCTTTTCTAAAATATCAGACCTCTGATATTCCCCATTCATTTGCTCTCATGTTCCCCAGACCTGCTCTGAGCAGATTTCAGTGGTGCAGTGATTAAAGTTCCTTTTTAATTAGGACCATTCCTATAATGTCCTTGTACTGGTGCAGGTGAAGGAGGGATAACAGGTGAAAACAGGTATTTCAGCTGTTGATAACAGCCAATATGCAAAGATGTCTTCAAGGTTAATGATGGTCCCATCAGCCTTAAATGACTGGAAAATCTTCAGAGGTCTCCACAATTTTAAAAGAATCTGAAATGTGTCAAAATTAGTGGGGAATAATTAGTAGAGTCTTCGGGAAGCAATAATTCCTTTTGTCTACTCAGATTATTTTAAAATTTTTTGCAAGATGAATCCCAATGAATACTGTTGAATATTTGCTTCAGTTTCAGAATGGTTTGGTTTGAGGAAAACAGTGAAATACAGAGGTTTCAACCACTGCTGCCTCATCACGGGTGTCATAACCTTCTCTTGAGGGGGCTTAATACACCAGACATCTTAGTCGTACTCTGTTGTAAACTTGGACTTTTCTTCATGCCTTTTTAGGTCTTCCAAGGAGGAGCTGGTGGCACAAACTTCAAGTTGCTCTGTGATAGTTTCTTTTGACAGATCTTTTTCCCCTGAGTAGCTCCCAGGAGCAAAATGTCAGTGTAATTTGGTCCTAGACATGAATAGCCAGTTGGCAACCTGTGAGGTCCCTCTTACTGAACCTTAGGAGTTCTGTGTGTCAAAAACCACTTGGCCTGAAATGCATTAAGATGTCAAGGACAATTATCCTGCTGTATTTCCTATTCATTAATCACAGCTCTGGCTTTCTCAAACCCCTACGCTAGCAATTACAAACAAGATTGATGTGGGTTTAACCAGCATTCCGAGGATTATGTACACACAAAATATCACTTTTTCTTCTTTTTTTTTTAAACATAAATCACTGCACTTTGAAGCAAAACAAGTCATCTATTTAGAACATCTGTACACCAATATCCAATGCTCAGCCTTGTAAGTGGATGCCAAATTGCCTACAAAAACCTGGAAGAAAAAAATGTGAAAGTCTTTAAAGACATTTTTGAGTCACTATAACTCCCTCGGTCTGACGCTGATGTGAGGGGCAATTTAGTCTTTTCCTTGCAAGGTCTGTTCCCAAAACAGGTTTCCATCTAACAGCTTGATCTTGGCTTTGGAAGTTAATCAGCTAATTAGCTTCCTCAGGCTGTGCACAGAGAGCACCATTTTAGGAATCTGACTGGTGTGTGCGACTTGGGTTTTTTAACTTACACCATCATCATATGTTTGAGCACAAGCAAAGGAGAGAAACCCAGTGGTAGGTTGAGAAGGAGCCTGAGGAGAACACACACCATCAGGGCAGAGGGAAGACAGAGCTCCAATGAGCTCTTCTGCTGCTCAAGTGATTGCACTGTGACAGTCCTCTCATTCATTTTTCCTCATGCATTAAGGCTGATGGTACTAGTGCAAATAATTGACTACATCTCTTGGGCTTATATTACAAAAGAAAAAGCACCAGACCTCAGCCTGTCCCACACACAGCAGCACAAGCAGGAGGACAGTTCAAACATCTGCATTGTGCAGGGAGGCACAGCAAAGGGTTTTCATAGCTGCAGTGCTGCAGAGATGGGGTCAAAGCTGGGACAGCAAGGAACGACCTCTTCTCCATATTGCAGTGTGTCTCTAATTAGTTTTTCACCTCAGACTCAAGGGGAGTGACTAAATCTGCAGTGCCACCCTGATCAATATACAGGTGTATCTGTGCACACGTGTTCATCACATGCAGTGAGCAAGAGGTAAACAAGAATAATAAGAAAATGAAAGAAGATGAAAGAAATGTATTTCATTAGTTGTCTGAAGTCTAAAAAGAGCACCTTTTTTACCTCCCAAACTATCAAATCCTATGAAGTGTATTTTCTAATGGCCAGACTTCTCTAACAAGCAGACCAAACACTTCCTCCTTGATCTGCTGAATGTTCATTGTTCAGGATTTGTTTCTCCCTTCAAACTGTGGCTTGAAAAGAAATAGCCTATCCATGACTGAGTGCATAAAAGTTAGGACTGGGGGAATAATTCTGTATAAAATTTAGAACTGGGCAAAAAGTTCTAATATATTTTACAAATTTTATTTATTTTATCCAAGCAGCATTTAGGATACATTTTTCCATTACTCTGCTAGTTTTCTTACAAATGAGCTGTTGTTGATATGACTATTTGTCCCCTGGGTGGAAACTGCAGGACATGGCCAGCTCAGAGCTTATGAGAGAGGTAAGTTCACACTGTGGGCAGGGAACTGGTGCCTCTCTAAAGTTGGACATTACCTTGCAGAGGGAAGAGATTTTTCCTGAGCTGTCTGCCATATTCATAGATAGGCAGGATTCCTCTTACCCACCCAGAGATGTGTTCCTCTGATGAGCTTCTCCTGTTTCTCTCCTGTACTAGGGATTCATGGACATTGACCTGACCAAATTCAGGGAGAGTGGAGCCAATGTAACTGGATTCCAGTTGGTGAATTATACAGATACTATTCCCGCCAGGATCATGCAACAGTGGAGGAATAATGATGCCAGAGAGCATCCACGTGTGGACTGGAAGAGGCCAAAGGCAAGTGGTATAAAAAGCCCATTTCATTTAAGGTCCATCTGGCTCAGTTCAAGTTATGCTCACCTCTGTGTGATCACATAGCTCTTTAGTCTCACTCGGAGAGAGTTTCAGTATAATTATGTACTTTATCTGTTCCAGGTGCTTCAACATTGTCTAAATTTTACTAGGCTGCAGTTACTGCTTCCTAAGAAATACACAATTTAGTGTATTCACTCAGTGTCCCAGTTTTCACCCTCCTCAAAGCTAAAGATTAAACATCTCATAATGTTCAGTATATAAAAAACAAAAAGCCTCATTAACTCCTTAACCTTTGACTTGTTTACTAGACATCCAGTGATAATAAAGTCTTTCCAGATGTTCTTTTTGAGTATTTCCAATAAGTGTGTACAGCAGAGGGGAAAAATATTTAAATTCCTAATACAGAAGGCCCTGAAGCTGTTGAGGGATGGGTGGAGGGAGAGGTTGTTTTTTTCCGTTTGACATTTGAAAGCAACTACATTTGTGACAAACACTCAGCAATAGAAATGGTAACTTTAGAATTATTAGTTTCAGAAAGTTCCAAACAAATAAATTGGTAGGTGATCATAGAAAAAGAAATTAACTCTAACATTTACTCTGATGCTTCATGCCAAGTTTTAACACAGGTTTCTGTACAAGTTTCTGCTTGAATAAATTCATCTTTTGCAGAATTTTTTCAGATTGAGATAGAGCTTTCAGGTCTTTGTCTGTGACCAGGACAAGTCCCTTGTGTCTTGATTTCATGTATCTCACATTTACACAGTATAATGTGTTCCTTCAAAGTTCAGGTCAAATATTCTAATTAAACACGAAGACTTGGGGAGCAGATGAATGGCTTTTAAGGCTGAGTTTTCTTCAGGGAGTGCAATCTAAATCCACACCAGGAACTTCACCTTCACTTCCCAGTCATGAAAGTGAAACCAACTTTGACAAGTCAACAGGACAGTAGATGTTACAGGGAGAAAGGCTGTTGAACTCCATAGATGGACGGATGAGAACAGAGCAAATCATCTGAAAAGTTACCATGAGGCAAACCATGTAACACACCCAGGGGCAGCTCACCCTAATGGGCCATGTACAACTCCTCTTCTCTTTCTAGTACACGTCGGCCCTAACGTACGACGGAGTTCGGGTGATGGCTGAGGCCTTTCAGAACCTGAGGAGGCAGCGGATCGACATCTCCCGTCGCGGCAACGCCGGGGACTGCCTTGCCAACCCAGCTGTGCCCTGGGGACAAGGCATTGACATCCAGAGAGCACTGCAGCAGGTTTGGAACCCCCACAATGTGTGCACTGAGAGCAGGGCTGAACGTAGCCTGTGGGTGGGGGAAGAGGGATGGTTAGCAGCAGAAATGTTAACACAAGTCACTTGGGATAAGGAACTGCTCCTTCCAGATTAGAATCAGGTCTCCTAAAAAGCTGAAGGGTGCATGCAGCAAACTGCTTTTCCTGGTACCATCTGATGTGTCCTCGCCTGCTCTAACTTCTGTTGAAGTTCTGAGATGGAAAAGCCAAAATATTATGCCATAAAATCCTTATTTTTATCTTTTCCTACCTAAGACACAGACCTGCTCAGACCATATTTTTTGCACTTTCTTCGACTCTCTGTGAACTCAGCTTCAGTTCCTGATGCTAATGAATGCATGTGAATTTTGCCTTATGTGCTGGCTGTCAGCAAAATGTTCTCAAAGTGCAGATTATACCTTGTATCATACTGTGAGGAATCATAAAGGTCTTAATAACAGCCATTTAGATAGTTTATTCCTCAGATCTGATAATTTTGCTTTTTTCATCCTGCATGAAATTTAGAGTTTTGAATAAACAGAAGTATGATGTGAAACTTACAGCAAGAGGAAAAAACAGTACACTCTTGTCAAAGACTTAGAAAGGTAGAATACCTTAAAATGTCATTAAATTTCAAGACTGACATTCATTTCTAGTATTTTTCCCTTTTTCTCGTGACAGAAATAGATGGATTCCTTGGAAATACTGCTAGTTCAGTGTTATCCAAATATAGCTTATCCCCATCTTCTTTCCTTAACTGTGAAGAAGGCAAGGAGAATAATATTAATTTGGTTAATTTGTATCATATGTAAAGTTTCCCAAGTATTTTGTTTTGATTTGGTTTTGGCTCACTGGTAAACAACAATTCCTTTATAACCAAATTTTGCATCTGATTTGATTTTATTGCTTGGATTCAATTTGTTCCCAAGCCTGTCACTGACTTTCTGTATGACCTTGGGCAAATCACTGTCATAGTTTCTCCAAGCCCTTGTAATAAAATCAGCCTCCCTGATGCATTAGGGAGATCGGTTACCTCATAAACATAAAATACTTTGAAGTCTTCTGATGAGCAATGGCTTCTCAAGCATTTTCCTTTATTGAATTTATGAGAATGGGATATCAGAATTAGAGGGCTAGAAAACACAATTTTGTCTGTGTGTTGGAAAATCTCCTCCAAAGTTTCCTCATCTCTTCATTAAAACAATTTCAAAAGTCTTAATTTTTCAACTCTAGTGACTTTGGGCAAAGAACATGAAGAGCCATTTGCCAAATTGTTTCTTTACTGTTGAAAAATTATCATTTTTAAGAGGCTTGACCACTTCAATTGTGATGGTCAGAATAAAAGTCTCTGAAACAGGCAGGGGAAGAAGCCTCCTAGTAAAATTTTACCTATGAATTTAATAATCATCCAGCATTTAGTCACGTAGCAAGAAAAATGCAGATGGAAATAGAAGAACTTATACTAAGATTGAAGATTTCAGTTATCCATTCTGTTAAGACTCACAATTAGAGCAATTCTTACAGCTCTTCACAGTGTGCTTTCTCTTCACCTCCCATTTACTAATGCCTGAAATTTTATAAGTTGTTTAAAAGCGAAAGGTTTCTCTATTTACTTCTCCTCAAATGTCTGGAATATGCTCTCAAATTGCCTTATTTCTGTTTAGTGTAGGAAGGAACCATAGAAACAGTTTGGTTGGAAAACACTTCTAAGATCATCAATTCCAACCATTCCCCCAGCACTGCCAAGCCCAGCACTAAACCATGTACCCAAGTGCCACATGTCTTTTCAATCCCTTCAGCGATGGTGATTCCACCATTTCCCTTGGCAGCCTGTTCCAATGCTTGACAACCATTTTGGTGAAGAAATAATAACTTAATATCCAATCTACACCTTCCCTGACACAACCTGAGACCATTTCCTCTTGTCCTACTACTTGTTACTGGGGAGAATAGATTAACCCCCACATCACTACAACCTCCTAGCAAGGACTCATGGGTGGCAGGAATAAAGATGAAAAGAAATATGAAACATTCTGCCATTTTTTTTAAAAACAGGAATCTAACGCGTTCCAGCAGAATGCATGTTTTTATCAAAGATCATTACTTTTTTTTCCAGGAAAAGCTCACAAAATGTTGCTTAAAACAAATACACTAATGTTTTGCTTGCACTTTGAAAAGATTATGATACTTTTAACAATTTTTGGTTTTAACTTTACTTGGTTACGACATCTAATAAGCAGATAGATAGTTCCTAGCTGCTGACTGAGCCTGTGTAAACCAGAAAGCCACAACAACATCCTTCTGCTCCAGATCTCCCAACAACCAACCACACATCCATCCATGTCTTATATACAAATATACTTAAATGCTCCTGGTCTCCAGTTGACTTTACTGGTGCTTAGCACTGTTGAAATCAGTCCTCACTATATTGTGTATTACACTTTTTTGCCTTTTGCATTGACCATGGTAAATGATGGAAAAGTTGCCCTGCATCCTGCATGGCAGAGATCCCTTTTGCCGTTTCAGTGCCACATGGATATCACAGGATTAAGATTTCAGTCATTCAGATAGAAGAAAATGATGCTGTACACCTGCCATTTAGTGCATATAAAGCTACAAAACATGAGCACCTGTGACCTGAGCTTCAGAATCGGTCAGAACCTGAAAAGAAAACCAAAGGAGACGTGACAAAAAACAGGCTTGGGAGTGCTTAAGACAATGGTGCTTTTCCAGCGCATCTATTTTTTATGGGCATGTTGTGTCTTGTGATAAGGGAAAAGCATGTTTCTCCAAATGTCACCAAGAATACCTCTTGACTTGAAAGAGCTTCAGAAAATACTGGCAGATGTTCTTTTTCATGACAAACCTTTGCGATAATAGCTGGAAAACAAACAGAGCTTAAGCAGATTAACGACAGATTTCCTCTGTAATGATATATCCTCATTTCTTCACCGTGGGTCTTTACTCTGAGGATCTCAGAGCACTTAAAAAGGCTGCTAAATACCTGTTCCTATTTTGCATGTGGGAAGACTTCAGTTGCAGGGGCAACAGGTTTGTCCAAAGCAAGTGGAAAGGCTGAGAACAAACCCTAAATTCCTAATCCAGTAGCATGAGCACTTCTCTGGGTGATCTCCATAGAAACCCAAATCTGCACATTTTTCCATGTTCCTGGTCCCCACTGCCTGGTCCACACACTGTATGGGATTCCAGTAAGAAGCCCTTCTCCACACTAGGATGGGCCCTATTGCAGCAAGTCAAATGGCCACACTGAGGGAGAAGTTCAGGATGTGGGATGTGACGTGAGCATCACTTCAGCTCAGCAGTGTGATCAGCAGAGATTTATGGTTCAAAGTTTCCTATGCAAATTTCATTTGCAACACTAAATTGTTGGGTTTTATTAGGCTGATGCAAACATAATTAAATTTGCTTGTTAACTGAGAGACTCCTCTCTATCAAAAAAGCGACCGCTGGGAGCTGTGGCCAGGGTTTCATATTTCCTTCAAATACAGTTCCTGATTTGAACTGACAAATTCTTTACAAAATCCTGACTCCAGATCAGATTTAGAAAATACAAAATGCCACAAAACTCAAGGAGCTCAGAGCTGATTTAGCTCACTGTCACATCCCAAGGGGTGATGGGCTCACACTGGTGCTCTAGCTCTTATGCATAGCTGAGCTATGTTACAGATCACTAAGAGGAAGGGTAAGTTAAGAGAATGGCTGTGCCCATGGCCAGGCATGCTGTAGAGAGTGAACTGAAGTGAAATCCCAGTGTCAGATAGATGTTCTGTCTCCCCAGCATGGAACTGAGAGAAATGACTGCACTCTCCATCCTTCTTCCCCTCCCCTCTTACTGCTGTTGAACCACCATGCATGAGATGCTCCCCATTTGCTGTCTTCATTGATATTTACATCTTTAAGGTCCGTTTTGAAGGATTATCTGGCAACGTTCAGTTTAATGAGAAAGGAAGGAGGACCAACTACACCCTCCATGTGATTGAGATGAAACACGATGGGATCAGAAAGGTAAATGACCTGATATCCTGTGTCAGATTCCTGCCTGGTGTTTGAGATACAGCGTGGTTAGGTCTCAATAGACATTCCTGTTCATGAAAACTTGTGTGTGAAGTTACAAGTGTATTGCCAGCTCTGTGCATGAGCAAAACCAAGCACTGATGAGAACTCATGGTATATTACTAAAAGACACACAACATATGGAAGGTGTTATCAAGAGCAACAAGGGCATCTCAGCTGTGTGGCAGAGATTTTCCAGAATAGTAAAAGTGTGGTCAACTCAGCCTTGCTATTGGCAGTGTGCATTGGTTCAGGCTCAGCTACTCGACTGTCTGGTTTTGCCCTCCCACTTTTCTTTTCCAAGGGTGAGCCAAGGCAGAGCCAGGCAGAAGCTGTCTAACCAGTGTAGATGAACCCTTTATGTTGACCTAATTCTGCCCTCCTTGAAGTGACAAGAGCTTTACCACTAACCATGTCCCGATAGCTACACAGACCTTTGTGCTGCTCTGAAGTCTTGATCCCTTTCTATATCCCAGGCTCTTTGAAAAATCTGGCCTTGTTCAGGGATGCTGAGCCCTTGAAACATTAATCCTTTTGAAAATATGACTCCGTGTGCTTATGTCCCACTTTAGATACTATGTATTTGAAGAACAAAGAATAACTCAGTTATTCATCAATAAAGGAGAGCTACTAAATATTTTGGAATGGAGCATTCAGTGTAATCCCTCTGCATGTCCTCAGTCCCCTAAAAAATAACTTATTTGCTTGATACTAAGAAAAATGAAAATAATACAAGTTCCATATTTACAGCCCCTACCCTCAGTTCATACTGACACTTAAGAATAGATGATATGAGATCAAAACCCAATGCAGTCAAGTGAAAAAAGGTGAATTTTCATTGAGAAATAAAAGAAGTGTCGCTTTGAAGACACACACAGCAAGCTTGCTCTGCTACAAGGTATTCATAACAGGACAAAGGCAGTATCCTGTCCAGTTTGGGTCTCTGAACTTCAGTCAGCTGGCAATCTGGAGTCTATAGAGGATAAGAAACAGAGTGGCTTAATGTCTTGATTTTTCTCTGTATTTACTGTCAGAAGTCATATTTGTTTGGAAGAAGTACATTACTGCCATGCTGCTTGTTGTATTTTAGATCCACCAGGTCAGAGGTGCAAAACAAACATAAATGTCTCCACGTATGTTGCCCCAGGGCAGAGCTTTAGAAGCTTTTTCCTCAGTCTCCATTCTTTTTGCCTGGGCAGTGAAGAGTGATGAGAAGCCTGAATACATCTTTTTCTCCTGAGCTGTTATGATCTCTAATCTGCCATCAGCAGGCTCCTGGTCTTGCCCTGGTTAATACCCTTTCCCATTTACTGTGATAAGAAATTCCTTTCATATGAGCAGAGCTCAGGCAGCTTCATACTTACATGAGGTGATGGAAAACCTCTTATAAAATCAAGTCCTCAAAGTGGATAACCTCAACCATGGTCTTCCTAGTGATATTCAGTCATGCTCTGCTTTACCTGCAAGCAGTGATAGATTAGCCCAAATCCCTGATTATTAATAAGCACAATTTAACATGAGAGGTCTTCCCATTACAACTGTGCAGTTTATTCATGACCCCAAACTTTTTGACATTGGCCCAGGTTTGGGATTTTTTTTTCTGACTTGTTTTTTTTGTCCTGTAGTCTCAAGATGTCCTAAGAGCCAGTGCTATATCCATGCAGGCTTTCAGCTGCAGGATAGCATTCCATCACCCTGTAGCACCTGCACATGCAGCAGGCAAGCTCACAGAATAATTTTCAGAAGTCACAGAGAGGAAATGTGCATTTTTGGCATAGGGATGAGACAGGCAATGGCAATAATCCCCAGTACGCTGTGCTAAATGTTTTTACATGCATATGAGCACTGTGCTACTGTAGCATATCATGCCCATTATTTTCAGACTGGAGGCACAGTGGGATGGGCAATTTCCCAGACCCCCTGGCAAAAGACACCAAGAATCAGGAGAGGAAAACTCTGGTTGGATATGAACACACAGAGGGAGCTGATCCTGCTGGTATGACCCTGTTGCCGTGTCTTGGTTAATATTACAGAGATATCAATGAAATATCCTGGTTTTGTATTGGGCAGATTGGGTATTGGAATGAAGATGAGAAGTTGGTCCCAACAGCCATAGACACTCAGAGTGGCAATGAGTCTACAAGTCTCCAGAACAGGACTTACATCGTCACGACTATCCTAGTAAGTGCTGTGACTTCTATCCCAACTCTCCCTCTCCCCCACTTCCCTGATGTGCCAACTCCCTCTTCCCACTCATGCATCCTCCTTTGTACTATATCATTTTTATAATGGCAATAACAATAATAATAATAGCACTTACTGTTTCCTGCCGGGTCCATAAAGGTATCTGAAAATTGCTGTGACTAATTAAATAGGTATTAAAGGGCTCTCATGCTTAAGTGTAGAAAATACAAAAGATTATGACAAGATAGTAGAAGCATCAACATAGGTAAATTAGGAACATTGTGCCTGAGCTTTGTGTTTAGCCCACAGAATGGGGGCTGCAGTTTTGGGAAGGATAAGCTGTATTGTGCAGAGAGGCTGAATCATTGCTTTAAAAACAAACCTCCACTATAATCATGAAGGAATAGTAGGTACCCCATAATGTATGGTATCATGTATTGTGTCATTGTTATACACTTACCCTGCAGAACCATCAAGTGTTACTAATTTGTTTGCTGAATGCTCACTGTGAGTCTGCAGAGAAGACACAATACTCACACTGAGTTAAACATCTTAAGGCTCTCTGCTGTCCAGCAGATCTGATTCTGCCTGTGCCCACACACAGTCAGAATTGCCTTTTAACATTCACAGCTCAGATGCACTAAATACTCCTTGCAGAACTGCACTGAAAGGTTGGAATCTGGTTGCCCAAATTCCCCCAGCCACTCCATTCCCACCAGATCCATCACTGTGGAAGCTGTGCACGGAATATGCCACAATAAAAAATCAGACTTTGTGCTTTCTAGAATAAGCCCAATGTATGTTGGCTGTGTCCTTTGAGACAAAACTCAAAGCTAGAGCTTTGTAAGGGGACCAGAAACTGCACACTGGGCTCTAGCCTGAGCCCCTGATGTGCACCTCTAGAATGTGGAGTGTGGCTCAATATTGGTCTTCTGCGTGCCAGGAAGACCCATACGTGATGCTCAAGAAGAATGCCAACCAGTTTGAAGGCAATGAGAGGTATGAAGGCTACTGTGTGGAGCTTGCTGCGGAGATTGCAAAGCATGTTGGCTACCACTACAGGCTGGAGATTGTCCGAGATGGGAAATACGGAGCCCGGGACCCCGACACCAAGACATGGAACGGCATGGTGGGAGAACTGGTTTATGGGGTGAGTTTCCAGCCTCATCCATTGTCTTTTGCTCTTGGTACTTGAGAACACATTGAGGCCCCAGAGTGAAAAGGAATTCTGCCTTCTGCCAGCCTGAGCTCTCCAGAGCCCTGATAATGCAAATAATCAGCCCAAGTAAAACATTTTAATTTAGGGAGAGACAGCACATTTTGTGCCTATGGAAATGTCAAAATGTTTCCTTTCAACAGCTTCAAGATTCTTTTTCTTTACATTTTTAGAAGAACAAGTATTGAAAGGTCAAACTTTCCCATGGGTAGAGCCTCCAAATTTTACTCTGTTTAATATTTGCATGATAATGGCAGAATGAAAGAAGAATAAGATTTCAAACACTCGGCATGTGAGTGGTGAATGGTAGGACTAGACTACTTTCTGTCTCATTTTCAGCATCTCAGATATACACCTGCACCCTACACTTCTAAACCTGTTTTGGTCTGGTAGTTCACAAACTGTGGTGTTTTGGTCAT